AGTGGAGTACAGATGCAGACACACACACACACACACACGCGCGCGCGCACACACACACACACACACACACACACAGGGAGATGACATGGAATGATGCAGGCAGATGCGTGCATTAGGAATATCAAGGACAGCAAGAGAGTCCTTCAGGAGTTAACACGGTTGAGACCCTTTCAACCTCTAGAGCTATGAGGAAATCAATGTCTGTGCTCTGAATCATTCAGTGATGGTGCTTTATACGATGGCCTGCCATCTGTTTTGAAAGACGAGTGCTCAGAGTGGGCGTCAGACCCAGGGATGTAGAATCTTCAGCTGGTGTAGACTGGGCACATTATCAGGAGGTAATCATTTCACAGAGAAGGGGGTCATGCCAGGATGAGTCGATGGAAGAAAGAGGGGAGTCCTCACTGGGGTGGGTTGACTCAGGGTCTGTGTTAGTTGATTCAAGTACAGAGTAATTACGAGGATGGTACAAGATCGGACAGGGCTTTGTTCCTTCTTATGCAAGATTACTGTGTATCATTTGACTCCATGGCGAGTAACAACAGTTCTACCTAAGACAGTGAGGGGTGAAAGATTGCTTTCTGACGTACTGGGTGTCAGCTGTCAAAGTGAGCTGTTGAGCAGATGTTTGAATCCTTTAAAGAGGTCTTACAGTGTCAGAGGTTAAGTGGTGGCAGTGAACGCAGAAGTTGACAGTTGGGACCCGCCAGCTGCTCTATGAGAGGATGATGAGGGCATCTCAAAAAGATACGGAGTCTAGGAAATCTGATGGAGGGTCGCTATGAATTGGAATCATCTTGAAGGCAGTGGGGTTTTTCTTTTTTATTGGTGTAGAGCTCTACAACCTAGTTCTGAGACCTAAGAGTGGAGAGTCACGTAGAACTCATGGTAGGTTTGGAAGAGGTGGCTTTGAGAGTTGCTTGACTTGGAAGTGTTTTGTCTGTGTGAGGTGAAAAGAGAAGGCCTGAGGGCATGCTAACTTGTAAAGGACTGAGAAAGTGGAAGTTAGAAGAGGAGCAAGAATTGATGAGAATAAGAAGAAAAAAACCTGTAGGAATAATGTGTATAAAGGCCAAAGTAGGAGAGTGAATCAACCACCTTCTGTTAGCTTTACAGAAATGACTTGTATGTTGGATGATGCTGCTGGAAGTTATACCTCTGGCCTTGTTGACAGCAGTAGGGTCACCCACGTGAACTGATTTCATTGTCACTTTCAGGTTAAGACTAGGAAGAAAGACTTTCTACTACTTCCCAGGAATGGCCCTTTTTCCTTCCTTAGTAAGAGACCTTCGTGCCGAGAAGAAAGGTGATCTTCTGAAACCTAGTTAATGAAAGTCTGCTGTTAGGGACCTCTCCAAAGTTCTGAAGAGCAATGGTGTCTCTCTGGAGACTAAGGTGCATTTGATACAGGCATGGTTTTCGCAATCACTTGTTATGCATCAGAGAGTTGGACAATGACTAGGGAGGACAGAAGGAGAATTGAGAATACCATCGACTGCTAGGAAAAACAACAGATTCGTCCTGGAAAGGGTTAAACCGGGTGGCTCCTTGGAGGCAAGGATTCTGAGGCTCTGTCTAACATACTTTGGACATGTTGTGAGGAGAGACCGGTCCTTGGAGAAGGACATCATGCTTGGGAGGGTGGAGGGACAGCGCAGGAGGGGAAGGCCCTCTATGAGGTGGATTGATTCAGTGACTGGGATAATTGGGATGTGAGTGTCAGAGACAGTGTGATTGGCACAGGACAGAGCAGAGTTTAGGGCTGTTGTACATAGGGTCGCTATGAGTCGCAGGTGACGGCCAATCAACAACACGGCACATAAAAACAACAACAACAAGAGAATCTTGACTTAATTTGGACAGGTCATCTGGAAGGATGAGTCACTGGAGATGTCAGTTTTGGTGATGCCATAGATAATGTGTTTCGTGAAGTAGAGGGCTGACCAGAGTGAGAGAGACACCAAGTGAGATGCATTGGTTTAGTCACTATAGCAATGGCTTTGAGCATGACCACAGTTAAGGAGACAGGACCGGACTGGGATTTGTTTACATAATGCTGCCATAAGTTGACGCTGTTTCAACCCCAGCTATTTTCTGTTTGTCTGTCTACAGAAGGAATGGCTGACACGGCTGACTGTGTCAAACAGTCATGTTGTATCTTGTGAATAGGTTTGACATGGTGATAGAAGCCAGGTTGGATGTTTGGTTTTGGTCAGTTAGTTGGTAGTGAGGAAATGAACACAGTGTACATTTCCTTTGATGAGGATGGATACCCCAAGAAGGGAATGGGGTCAAGAAAGTGTTAAAATGATAGACGTGATGATGATTATTATCTTAAGGGGAGAGAGTATAAGATTCTTTTTAGTTGTTGTGTGCTATCAAGTTGGAATCAATACATAGCTGACTATTCAGGGGGTTTTCAGAGGCAGTAAATTATAATGGACAAGATTGTTAAGTCCTCTTCTGTGGAGTAGCTTGTGGAATTGAATCTCTTGCCTTTAAGATTGCAGTGAAGATTCTTACCACTTTAGCGAATTAATTTGTTAAGGAAAAAAATAAAATTTGCAGACCAGGAGAGGTTCAAGATACTATTGTTGTGGTGTACTTTTGGATTGGAGCGGTCCCATAGCTGACCCTTCAGTGTGTTTTCAGAGGGAATAAATTGTCTAGGAAGAGACTGCCCATCTTTTGCCTACAGAGCAGCTGGTGGATTTGAAGCATGTGCCTTTGGCTTGATAGCGTGAGTTCTTACCAGAGCTCCCTTGAAGATACCATAGTAAAGATACAATTAGTGAATCAAAGTACATGAGGTGATATTAAGGGATTGAAAGAACATTTGGAGAGCGGACCTACTGAGGAATGAATGGCCTTCCACCAAGACAGGAAATGAAGTTGGGCATGGGGAATAACAGACTGAAAATGGAGAAAGTGATGATGGTTTTAAAAGGCCATCTAAGAGAAAATGCTAAGAGATTGTTTCCATAAATATTTAAGTAATTGACTACTGGCTGGAAGGTTGGCAGCTTGAAGTCACCCCAAGATGCCTCAGAAGACAGGCCTAGTAATGTCCTTCTTAAAGGTCACAATTTATTTTTTTTTTTAGATTTGAATTTTATTTTTTTAAAAAAACATTTATTTTCATTGTGATTTTAACGAACATTTACAAAGAGGTTAGATTTTCATTCATTCATTGTTGCATATATTTTACCCCTCGCCCTCCCTTCCCCCTCTCCCAGTTCACTTTTTTAATATTTATTCACTGTTCCACAATTACTTACCTTCCCCACCCCTGTCCTCTTTGCAATGAAAAAAAAAAAATCACAGACTTTAAAATGGTATGAATATTAAAAGGGGGATATTAAGGTATGAAGTAGCTGGCTTACATGCCTTCACAAATGTAGTTCTTAGAAACAATTAAATATAATGTAAATGAAAGATTGTATAAAACACAAATGTACATCCCTGAAACAATATATGAATCAGTATAATAATGAAGAAAAAAAATCACAGTCAACCATCATTTCCCATCTTAAAAAAAAAACAAACCCAAAAACAAAACAAACCAGAGAAACCTCCTGAAAACCAAAACCACTATGCTCTGTACACATGGGGTCCCAAGAATTGGGATCCACTTGGCAACAATAAATAACAAAAGTAGAAGTGACTTGGGAAGTACTAAGTGTACAGCAGAGGGGAGTGAGGAGAGACATGAAATGTGTGTTGGGCTGCGAATAGGGAACTGGCCATTTCAATTCACAAGCCACCCCTTGGGAGAAAGATGAGGCAGTCTTGTAAAGATGTATTGCTGTGGAAACCTGGTAGAGGAGGGTCCAACGCCTATGAGTTTGAACCAGCTAGAAGATAGTAGGTACCGACATAATTGAAAGCAGGTAACTTTTTAGTTAAATTAATGTAGAATTTAAAGATTATATTGCCAACATGTACTTTTCCATGTACAAATTCTTATAATCAAAACTTGGTTCAACTTACTCTCCCTTAAAAGAAAATCTGGTTCAGTAGAAAATATGTTAATACTACGGTTATGTTAAAAGTTAAAAAAAGATGTACTTTTTGTGTGTCATTTGCTGATTGCAGTTATTTATATTTTGTAATAAAATTAGTCCTGACAGTTTGAAGACAAGACTTTCAACAGTACCAGTGGTGAAAATTTTATTAACTTGTCAGAATTATGTTTATAGAATTCCTTTGTATGTACGTACGTGCTTGTGTTAACATATAAGTAACTCTCTTCTCTTTTTAATTCTGAACATTGAACAATTATATCTCATTAACATTTTAGATTGCTCTGTAGTTGGCAGCTGAGAACAATACTAAATGGATACCATCAAATAATAGAACAGGTAAGTCGTTAAAAAGGCTTATGTTTTAAGTGTGAGTAAAAGGCAGTACTAAATTTACACAGTTTGTGGAATGCTGTAACAAACTAGTTTAAGGATTGCCAAATTTCATAGTATCCATACATTACAGAAAATATTTTCACGTTGAGGATTCTCAGCAGATTTTCAGAAAACGTTTATGTTGATTCCCATTCTTGGTACTTCTTGTTTTTCAAATTCATTCATCCTTAGCCATCACTTTTAGAGTGATTTATGTCCTTAGACTGAATAGCAGTGGTAGGGGGAAAAAAACCAAGGACCCATTTAGGAGTTACAGTAGTAAAAATTGGAACTCCAGTGCCAGATTAACAGCAGGCAAAGAGAGGTGGAAATCGCTTAGGATCATGCATACTTGTGTACTTAGTAGTTGTAAGGGCAATATAGTTGAGATATAAATGGATTAATTTATTCTTACTATGCACATTCCTTTACTTGAAAATTGCCTTTAAGGATCAAGCAATCTTAAAAAAAAAAAAGTCATTACTATGGAAGCAATAATAAGGAAATGCCTCTTGTACAAAATAAATGTCACTAGAATTTCTTAGCTTTTCTTGCTTTTGTTATTGTGTTGTTTTTCCAGATTTCTTTTTATCCCCTCTCCATCTATTCTAGAGTCAGATTATTATATCTTTTGATAACTGACAGTGACAGTCATTCTCACATAAAGCATTGTTGTTGCTGTTGTTGTTATGTGCCGTCGAGTCGTTTCCGACTCATAGCAACCCTATGCACTACAGCCCTAAACCCTGCTCTATCCTGCACCAACCACACCGCCTCTGACACACCCATCCCGATTACCCCAGTCACCGAATCAATCCATCTCATAGAGGGTCTTCCCCTCCTGCGCTGTCCCTCCACCCTCCCAAGCATGATGTCCCTCTCCAAGGACCCGTCCCTCCTGGCAACATGTCCAAAGTATGTCAGACGAAGCCCCAGAATCCTTGCCTCCAAGGAGTAGCTTGGTTTAATCCTCTCCAAGGTGAATCTGTTTGTTTTTCTGGCAGTCCATGGTACATTCAGTACCCTTCTCCAGCACCACAGCTCAAAAGCATCCACTCTCCTTCTGTCCTCCCTAGTCATTGTCCAACTCTCTGATGCATAACAAGTGATTGCAAATACCATGGCCTGTATCAGGTGCACCTTAGTCTCCAGAGAGACACTGTTGCTCCTGAGTACCTTAGAGAGGTCCCTAACAGCAGACTTTCCCATCGAGATACACTTTTTGATTTCCTGACTGCTGGTACCAAGAGTGTTGACTGTGGAGCTGAGCAAACTGAAGCTGTGAACACTCTCAATCTCTTCGTCATCCATCCTGACGCTGCTAATTGATCCAGTGGCGAGAATCTTTGTCTTCTTGACATTGAGCCTTAGTCCATACTGAAGGCTGCAGTCCTTGACCCTTCGCAGCAAGTGCATGAGGTCCTCCTCAGTTTCAGCAAGCAGGGTTGTGTCATCTGCATAACACAGATTGTTAATAGATCTTCCACCAATCCTGATGCCACAATTCTCCTCATAGAGCCCAGCCTCTCGGATAATCTGCTCTGCATACATGTTGAAAAGGTATGGAGACAGGATGCATCCCTGGCGTACACCCTTCCCAATTTTGAACCATGCAGTGTTACCCTGCTCTGTTCTGACTACTGCCTCTTGGTCCAAGTATAGGTTTCGTATTAGCACAATTAAATGTTCTGGGATTCCCATTCTTCTCAGAGTCAGCCACAGTTTGCTGTGATCCACACAGTCAAATGCCTTTGCATAATCAATGAAACACAGATAGACATTCTTCTGGTATTCTCTGCTTTCAGCCAAGATCCATCTAACATCAGCAACAATATCCCTAGTACCACGACCCCTTCTAAACCCAGCCTGGACTTCTGGCAGTTCTCTGCTGATGTGCTGTTCTAATCGTTTTTGGATAATCTTCAGCAGAATCTTGCTTGCATGTGAAATCAATGACACTGTTCACTGGACCAAAAAGAAATACCGAATATATGGTATCACCACTGACAGTCTAATTATAGCATTTTTTTAAGGGGCTATTTACTCCTCTCTGTCTTCTGCCCACCCACTTATGAGTGAGTATATTGTGTACTAAAGAAATGAATCTATTGAAATATTTAAATAGTCTGTACAAATCGTGTTTTAAAAGGCTAAGTATAATCAAGAGATCTAGATATGTTTTTCTCGACCTGTTTGCCAAGAATGTTCTTAGAAAAAGTCCCATATACCTGTGCATCTTCACTTGTACTTAGTTGACTAGTACCCAGAATGAATGTGAATTTTCCAGGTTTTTGCGTGTGCCATTCAGTGACACTGATTACCATCTTTGTGTACTGCAAGCATCTGTTTGCTTTCTACCAGCTTCATAAAGGGAAACTTTACAATGTCCCCATCAGTGATATCCATAGTATCAAGATAAGGTCAGTCATGCCACCCCCATCCATGCTCCTGCAGCTTTTTCTACCAGTCATTGGGCTCAATGGTCATTGCAAATTGACTCACAGACTTTACTCACAGTTGTGGACTTTATTAGGGAGGTAGGTTGGGTTGTGGGAGAGGCAAAGTATATCACCAGTACAAATCCAGGTTTAGTCTAACAGTCCTAAGCCAGTTTAACAGCAAGACTTGGTTCTTTAATTAGTGAAAATCCCAGTTCAGTTCAAGAGCACAAATGCAGCAAACCTCCAGTTTCCTCAGTCATCCAGCAAACTTTATCTCAGAGCATTTATAAATCATCCTTTCATTTAATCATCCAGCAGGGTTCCTCTGGCCACACCTTGCCAAAGGTACTTCACAGCAGTACCACCGTCTCTTCACCCTCTCTCCAATAGTCTCTCACAGTGTGGAAAGCATTCTCTTATATTGGTCTCACAGCTGTTGATGATTTGCAAGACTATATGTCCACTGCTAAAGTAGTTGGGGACCATGTTCCTCCAATGGGGGTAATGCAGTGGTTAGAAAAGCCATTTTTCAAGGATTCTGACACCCTACCTTCCTTTTTCACAGTTGTCTCCCACATTAACATAAATTCACTGCATTTCTGTCTAGTTTTTAAATTTGATTTGTCAGTTTCATTCCTTAGTTCTTAAAAGAGCTGAAGAGTAAAAACATACACTTTTTTTAACTAGTAAAGCTAAACCATTACTTAGTTTTTTTTCTTGGTTATTACTTTTTTGGTTTTCTTAAATTAATTTTAATGAAAGGTTACTGAGACTTAGGGTTTCCAGGCATTCATTGTTGCACTTTTATTCCTAGCCCCCCTACCCCGCAATTCACTCTTCTCCTTGAAAAGAAAAAGAAAAACTCTTATTGTTATGCAGTCCCTCCCCCCCAAGTCCACTCCACTATACAGCCTTCACTCTGGACTTCTGTAATGACAAGAATACCCATTGATATGTCCATTTTAAACAGTTCTCTCACTCATCATTACTTAGTTTAAAGAAGACTTGTCTTAAGTTTAAGAATTATCTCAGAGCAATAATTTCTGAAGTTCAAAAACCTTCATTGCTCCAGGAAGTCTTGCGTCCAGGATAATCGGATAATATGAAAATCTTTTCTGTATTTTCTTTAAAATCTTTGATCTAAATGTTCAGTATTGATAGCTGTGTAAAATTCAGTTCTGGCCTTATGAGTAAGGGCTTTCTTCCTCATTTTCACCAACATTTATTATGTATAATTCAATTTTTTCTTCATTTTAATGTTAGTTGTTTTGTTGTTGGCATGTTCTGTAGAATCAGAACTGACTCATAGCTGTCCTGTCAGCAAGTTTTCAGAGGCTGTAAATAGCGTGGGAGGAAATGGCCCTCACAGACGCCATGTCTTTGTCCCACAGAGCAGCTGATAGACTTAAACTATTTGCTTTTGATTTTTGGTGGCAAAGCTCCTTACCGTTCGTTCACCAAATCTCACTTTGGTTTTGATTTGTATCCCTCTGATGACTCACGATGTGGAATGAATATCGTTTCATGTAGTTGGTGAGCATTTGAAAGTTGTCTTCAGTGACATATGTAAGGCTTTTGCTCATTTTACTTGGTGGTTTTTATCTTTTGGTTACTGAGTTTGTCACGTTTTGTATGTATTTTGATTACAAAATTCTTAAGGATTGAATGACTTAAAAAAAGCATGATCTTAGTTGATATCTTTTGGTGTTTGTGCTTTAAAGAAATTACATTAACTAATCCATTGTTAGGGTCGATGTGTCAGAGACAGTGAGATTGGCTCAGGACAGAGCAGGGTTCAGAAGGTACGACCATAACAACAGCAGTCCATTGACAAAGAATATGCCTGATAGCATCGTTCCTGTTTTCTCATCTAACACTTCTGTGGTTTTAGTTTTCACATTTAGGCCTGTCAATCCATGTTGGATGTGGTTTTGTGGGTACAGTGGGGTATGGATCCCGCAGGTAGTAATCCAATTCTCCCAAGCAACATTTAGTGAAGAGATTCTTCTTTCGCACTTGAATGCACTGAGCACCTTTGTCAAAAAAACATCTTGACAAAAAAATGTGTGGATTTAGTTCTGGACTTTCAGTTCTGTTCCATTTGTCTGCGTATCTATTGTACTAGTGCCAGGCTGTTTGGATTACAGTAGCTGTACAGTATGTTTTAAAATCAGGAGGTAGAAATTCTGCTACTTTGTTGCACTTCATTGTTTTGGCCTTTGGAGGCCTCTTGCCATCCCCTGTCAAGCTGAGGATTGGTTTTAAATTTCTATAATGGAGGGTAATATGATTGATGTGATTGGCATTGAATCTAAAGATTGTTTTTTCCAGTGTTGACATCTTAACATTATCAAGTCTTACTCAAGTTATTTCAAGTCCTGTGAACGTGGAACTTGTTTGAGTCTTTGTTTTGTTCAATTTTTGAGGTAAAATTACTTATCTTTTTTGTTTTGTTTAGTTTTAATTTCAGGGATTTTGTCTATTACTTACATCTTTCATTCTTCTTAAAAATAATTTGTTTTTGTTGTTGATGAGGTGATGAATAGGTAGCAGAACATACACGAATTCAACAATTCTGCACACACAATTCAGTGACAATGATTGACTACTTGTTGGGTTTTTGTTTTTTTGTTATTTAAATAGCATTCAGTTTATTACAAATATTTAGTATTGGCCTCCCATATTTCCCCCCTTTTGTTTTTACCATAATTATGTTATCATCTAGATGAGCATTCTTTATACACAAACAAACATAATAAACTCAAAGAAGTACTTTCAAAAATCTCCATATGATCAGAAGGATTCAGGTTGAATATTCCTTGAAAGTTTGTTTTAATTGTCCCATTGCCACAGTGCTTGTCAAAACCAGTTCTGATTAATCTCCTTTGTCAGTGTGTCCTTTGCCATTCCCTATCACTCCTCCCTGAGAAAGACTTCACCCTGATTGATAAGGAAAAGGGGATGGCGTATTCTCTTAGCTACTTGCTGCTGAAAAGGGACGCTGTAACTTTAGCAAATACAGTCTAATGTTAGTATCCTTTTTTTGTAGCAAACCAGTTAGTAAATATTTTGTGATTTGTGTGTCTCTTCAACTACTCAGCTCCTGTCATTGTAGTACAAGAGTAGCTGTAGATAAAGCATATACCAGTGAGAAGGGTTGTGTTCAAATAAATCTTTATTGACCAGAGTATGAGTTGGGCTTGACTGGTGCTCTGTGCTGCGGTCTCTGACTGTTGATAGTGTCTAGTACTCAACTGTAGTAAACTAAATGGGAGGGAAACACTTAGAAGAAAGAAGAGTCAAAGATTTGTTCTGTAAACATGTGCCCACTCACAACTATGTTAAGATGTGAATCATATGTCTTTTATGCATTGCTGAAGCAGCGTAGATTCTTATTTTTCTCCTCTGAAAGTAAGCAAACAGATTCACATATTGACTTTGTTGAGAACCGTATGGTATTGTTGCAGTATACATATATATATATAAAAAGTAAGACATGACACAGTGTTTTGATTTCAGGCAGAAAAATGATGTAGAGTTTTAAGAAAGAAAACGATGTAAAACCCAAGCATTTCAATGCTTTCTTTTGTTCTACAGTTGTTTTAACAGGGTAAAATTTAAAGGAAATGGAACCACAGCTCTTAAATACTGATCTGTTTTAGAAATTGGGTGCTTTTTGAGATTGTATTTTAAATTTTCCCTTTGTTAACAAATCGGCTCCTTTTGAATTAATACAGGTTAGTAATGAAGGGAAGGAACACCTGTGGTGCAGTTATTAAAAATCTGACTGCTACATGGAAGGTTGGAAGTTCAAATCCCCCTCGTTGCTCCATAGGAAGCCCTGGCATTCTGCTGCTGTTAATAATACAGCCTAGAACACCATGTGAGGCAGCTCTTACTTCACCTGGAGCCAGAATGTGTTGACATCCTCGTTATACAACATAACAACAATGAAAGGATACCCCCCCACCCCCTGAAAAAAAAAAATAAAAGGAAAATTTTAGGTCTCTTTAAGGTCAGGGAAGAATCAAAATAGACAATATTGTTGATTGGTATTTGTTAATGCATTGTTTTGCCTACATTTTTAATTGTATGGATTTTCCATTTTATCCTCTTCTTAATTCATAGCCTCTCTTTCTCCCTTCTCTTCCTTCCGTTTTCATTCATGGTGTGATGTGTGAGGTTTGTGGTGCGTTAGATTTGACAATCTTGGCAGTAAATAGTGTTGAAGAGAGGAGTGTGTGATGTTTAACTGACATTCTTACCCACTCCAGTGTATCTCACCAAAATAGACTGGAAGGCGCTCAAAGTGAAATTGACGAAAATACGGGAAACTAAAACCCGTATTTTAAACCTTTAGAGTTTCAAGATATATGTATGTGTAAATATATGTCCAGTGTTTATAGCTAATGAGACATTATTCACATTCGTTATTCACTTAACAACTTACTTCGATTTCAGTGACTGCACTAGTCATGGAACAATTGAAATTAACAGGAAATGTTGTCTTGTTGTAGAGAATGCAGCACTCTCCTGATCTGACAAGCTTTATGATGGAGTTGAAGATGATTTTGGTGAGAATGATTTTTTCTTGATACGGTTACAATATTCTATAAGTATTATTACTTGTTTCTGTAATTCCATTTAAAATGAACATTATTAAGGTTTAACGTTACTTGACATCCAGTCAATGTTTTCTTTTACTTTGTGCATAAGTGCACATGGTATTTTGCTTGAACTGCCTGAGGCACAGAATGGTGGTAAAACCACTAGTACATTGGTCAGTAGGTACTTGGCTCAGGTGGTGTATTCTTGGCTCATTAAACACCTGACATCTAAAAAGAGGTTGGGTAGTCACACTTAAAAGATACAATGTTGTTGTTGAGTACCTTCAAATCAAAACTGACCCTTGATTGATCCTCCAGTAGATTTTCACAGACAGTAAATCGCACAAAAGGAGAGATTGCCCATCTTTCTCCCACAGAGCAGCTGGTGGATTCAAACCGTGTGCCTTCAGGTTGCCAGCACAGCTCCTTACCACTAGGTGACCGCAGGGCTCCTTAAAAGATTATGCTGCATAAATAATTTTGTATACAGTTTCAGATTTCTGAAGAACCTTATCTTTTTCGTTGTTATTTAGGCAAAAGTTTACAGATCGTATTAGATTTTCATTCAGTCATCTCTGACATTTTATTTTAAAGCTTTGATTAAGGTAACTAATTAGTTACAATGTCTGATTAAACCTTACTGTATAAACAGATTCGAGTATCTGAAAAAACTTACTAGACTTCATTATATACCATAGATGATTATCTAGTTACATCATTAGGTATAAAGTGCTTTATTGTTTAACTTATTTACTCTATAGATCTTTTCCTCATTTGAGAAAAAGAAGGCTTTTTATTTTGGAAGTATTCAACATCAGCAGAAGAACAGGAAAGTATTGTAAATACCCGTTGACTCCTGACCTAAATTCACATTTTTCTACTCATATTTTGTCCCCCTGTTAATTTAGGGCAAAGGAGCTGACTATTTTAAAATACTATTCCTCTAGCAATTTGTGAATGTATTATTATTTTTTTTTGCGAATGTATATTTTCAACACTCTTAAATTCTTTCCTTTCTCCTCCAACTTTTAACTCTTTTCATTACCACAAGACACCTTAATTGATATCCAAACAAGGCCTCCACTTTATATTGAGCTGAATCTTAAATCTTACTTTGTATGTTTCTTCTTCCTCTGCACCTTTGTCCACCATGACACTGATTTGCTGACTAAACAGATTATGAGCCCAACAATTCCACCTTCAGAATTTGGATTATAGAATCATCATAGTATCTTTTTAAACAGGTTCTTTTATCTGTATTTTTTGATCTGATTTGGAAGTAAGGTTCAAGAGTTTAACAGATATTTTCTGGTAGAAGTACTTGGTGCTGTTTTATCACATCAGCTGACAATTTTGTGTCTGGGTTTTCCTGGTGTAGTAAAATCAAAGCTGATCCATTCACTCTGGAGTTTTCCATCACCCTGTTCCCTAATAGTAGTAGCATCCAGAGATCAACTCTAGCTACACAGTATTTCATGTGAAGAGTTGCCGTGAGAGAGAATCAATACCAACAGCTGAATATTTGATTAGAGAATGAGGCTGGCATTAGGGTGGGGGCAAGACTGAGAAAAACC